TTAGTTTTTTTTTTCTCCGTTTAATTCTCTTTTATATATATCTAGTTCTTAATTTGAAGTGGTACAACAATGGGTTCCTAAATGATACATGATACCAAATCTTGCTAGCTTGTCTATTGAATTGATGTGAATTAATCTCATATATCTTAGTTAACTTATGGCACATGAATATATTCTCAACGAGTTTTGAGGTGGCCCAGTTACGTATAGAAACCTCATTTTGGATTATAGGAATGTACTGGACCACTGGTGGCAATGGATTGAGACAAGGGCATTCACAGCATTTCTTCAATATCAGGGGAAACTAAAAACTGGAAAACAAACAAAATTAAAGTCCACATGCCCTTCATTTTTTGATTGTTTTAAGGAATTTATGTGTCATTGTCGTCGTCCGCTGTTGCATCCTCTTGATTAGTAAGCATAGCCGTTTGCATCCTTCTTTCGGCCTTCTTCCAATCCATCAGCAACATTTGTGCCTATAGATTTTGAGGCGTCAGCCTCGATCATCGTACGTCTAGCGTGTAACCTCCTCCACTGAATGCTTGTTCTACCGCAACCGCAGATGCTGGGATGGAGAAAATCTCCTTGGTCATCAAGTATGGAATAGGATAAACACCTTGCATTCTTCACCACCAACCCATGACATAGAAATTGAGTGGCGGAGTTGGTTGACGCGCAACCGTAAGTATCAAATTCGACGTAAGATAGTGATCCAACTCATAGTATCTAGTTCCCATTGCCCTTTGGATGCCAGCATTCTTGTAGGGATTTAATGAATCCCATAAATCATAAATGTTTCTCGTTTCCTATGTGCCCCATTGCACTCCATAAGAAGAAGACCCGCTGTCGCCGGTTCCAGTGCCACGAACAAATGAGTTCAGAGATTCCCCGAGTCCGATTGTTTTTTCCATAAACAAATCATATAATAAATTGTTTGCTTGCTGGGCGAGCAGATGTATGTTAGGTTTTTGACTGTATGTCGGGACATTAGTCGAAATTGGGTGTTGATACGTAATACCATAGTAGATGTCAAGCTGCCCTATCAAGCCATAAATGTTTCTCGTTTCCTATGTGCCCCATTGCACTCCATAAGAAGAAGACCCGCTGTCGCCGGTTCCAGTGCCACGAACAAATGAGTTCAGAGATTCCCTGAGTCCGATTGTTTTTTCCATAAACAAATCATATAATAAATTGTTTGCTTGCTGGGCGAGCAAATGTATGTTAGGTTTTTTACTGTATGTCGGGACATTAGTCGGAATTGGGAGTTGATACGTAATACCATAGTAGATGTCAAGCTGCCCTATCAAGCCAACTTCGTGTACTGAAGAATCTTACAAACATGCAACTAACATGTATCGAGAATGAAATAATAATATTTTAACCTTTTGCTCAACATGTCTCTTACTAATTCTCCATATTTAATAGAATCCTTTAAATAAAGATCTTTAAAACGCCACATTATGGCTATATATTGACTTAACACAAGTTGAGTCGTAGGATAGTAAACATCAAAAAGTATGTTAGTAGCATTTTGAAATGTTTCTAAAAATTGAATAAGTGCATTACAGTCCACCCAATTGTTCGAAGTAACTCGGACATCACATTCCTTACGTTTAGGACTCTTAAGAAAATGCTCCAATTGTGCCATCCACTCAGCCTTGTCACTCAATGTTTTATATGTTGAGTACCACCGGTTAGGGACGTCTGGTTGGAATTTTTTAGGTTTAAGCTGTAATGCCCAGTTATTTTTATAACAAAAATACCAAATTTTTCCAAAAATCAGAGTTTAATTTTTGCAAACCATTTTAAAACTTATTCAACGGGCATTACTCAACTTATCTCAAATCAATAGCTTAAGTAACAACTTAAGCCACTGGGTAAACCATCCCAGATCAAAACTTCATGCCAAATAAGTAAAACATGCTTCAATGATAATTTCAAACATTACCAACAAACATCAATAATTCCAATTCATAATTTAAAGCATGCATAACATCCAAGTTTCATAATCCAAACTCAAAACATACAGATTTCCTACTAATGATCCATCACAATAAACTTTTTATTTTAAAAAGAAAAAAAAACTTTATTATCAAACGTTGTAGAAAATCGATTCGTAAACATCTTAGAAACTAAAATTAAACTCTTCTAAAACTGGGAACAATAAAAACAGTCTTTAAATACTAAAACCCTATCTAATCCAAAGCATAGATAAATGTTTTCCAATGCAACAGCCGACGCCCTGCTGACATTGCCTATGTAGACTGTAATCTCCCCTTCCCTAAACTATCTGGTTTCTCAGAACTCTTACAATAAATTGCAGACATGATCAGTGGTGATATAGCCATATTGTGTTATACCGGCTTAAGTATCAGTTGCTCGACCGAACCGCGAGTCGAGCAGGCTACATGTCGATTTACACCAGCACGTCTCCGACAAATTTTTTATACAACTAAGGCAGGGAAAGTCGACTTCCACAAGTCGAGTGTATAGCCTAAGTTGACTCCCACAAGTCGACCCTCCACCATCGTAATAGGAGAAGTCGACATCTAGAAGACAACTTCCCTAATCAACTTATTCAAGGAATCTCTTTTAAGAAGACGAGGACGATTCAGGAACGAACAGGTAGAGCCTCTTGATATATCCCTGTACGGAAGCCCCCAGGTCGACCTCTTGCTACTCGAGGTCGACTCCCTCCTCCTCGAGGTTGGAGGCGGACGACGACTTGAGTCACTTCAGGATCTCCCAGTGAACTTACTAAATGAGGGTGAATCTCTATTGGATAAGATGGAATCTTAAGCAGACTCAGATTTAACTAAGAGGTGACTAGGGTGAAAATGAACTGGGCAGCAGGGCCGGTCGACCAGGGCATTCTGGGTACTTCAAGTAGGCATTTCCTTCTATATAAAGGGACAAAGGTAACCCTAAACCCTAAGTTCTATTCTCTTTATTCACTCTCCATCTTCCTGCTGTTGTTGCTCCCATTAAGTAGAGTCCTTTCATCTCTTTCTGATAATGACTTGAGCGTCGATGGCTCTACGCCGGAAACACTTCCGGCGTTGAGTTCTTGTAGGTGTTCGCGACGTCTAGAGGTGACTTGAAGGCGGTTCGAATAGATCGGAGCTCATATCCACCAGTTTACTCCAGATCTGGGAGTAGACCCATCAAGTGGCTTCCGTATCTACAAAAAAATGCTAGTAGATAACAAGCTAAACATGTTTTCATGAATAATGAAAGAGATTTATCTCCGTCGTCTTTCTTGAGGAGAGGGCAATTAGCCTTCTAGTGTCTTTTCTATGAGCACCGGTGTCATTTGCCTTTCGGCTTCTTTGCCACTAACTGAGGGGCTGGCCGACAAGCGACTGTAGCTATCTATGCATTTGCCTTTTCTACAGATTTCTTCATCTTCTTACCCTTATTGGGCCTGAAAGAAGAAGTTCCACTCTGCTCGGCGACTAGCACCTGAATGTTCTGACAAAATAGGTCCTTCATCGACTGGAGTTCCACGATAGTTCCGAGAGAGACTACGACATCTTATTTATGTTATAATTCAATCAGAATTGATCAAAACTCATCGGCTGAGGCTCGATCACTATATCGACTTGGGTTTTCCAATCGATAAATGCCCCAAGAACCTCCAACTCATTGAGTTGGGCCATGATCGCGAGAATATGATCTCTTATGCTCAAGCATGCGTGTGTTCATCAATTCTCTCATAGCCTCTTATTGGGCATCCCGTGAATGGTGGCCGAACAGATCCTTGAGATTGAAGAGTATGTCAGAAGCAGAGGTCATAGACTGATGCTGATGTTCAAGTACATTTTGACATGGATGCAAAGATGTAACACTTCGCCATCTCGTCAGCCTTCCTCTATTTCGCATACTCCTCATTCTCTTGGTCTGTTGACACCACACCGGGCACATCCGGACAAGCCTCAGAGAGTACATACTTGTACCCCTCCACAGTTAACACTAGGTCCAAGTTTCTTTTCTAATCAATGTAGTTGGGACCAGTAAGTTTGTTTTCATTGAGAATTACGGACAACAGATTGAAAGACATTTTGAATTCCTCAGATCATGTAAAATAGATTTTATTTAGTCAAGTCTTCGAATTTAATTCTTAAATCTTGATCCATTGACAACAATATTCTATTAAATTCACCGACACCTCAAAACGCCGAATCTCCGCAGGCCACAGTGGTGTGGACGTCTACGGTTAATACCGTCTATTAAATTCACCGACACCTTAAAACGCCGAATCTCCGCAGGTCACAGTGGTGTGGACGTCTACGGTTAATACCGTCACAAGAAGAGGGTTTTAACCTATCTATTATCCACGTCGACAAGTTAACACATAATTAATAGTCGGTCCACTTTTGGCCCGTACAAATGACCGCGACGGCTTCATAAGGAGACCACAATCAAATGCACTCTAAGTGTGACTCATTACTTGGTACTAACTCCACTACTAAAATTATATGTCCACCGTAGGGAAGTCTGTACGCTTTTGAAATAGCTTTCTACTACCATCGCAAAGGAAGCATGTCCTTATGAACTGTGATTAAAATTTGTTCGTCGGAACGAAGGCCCTAATGCCAGCGCGCAAATAACCACTTCACTAACAAACCGATAATAGAGGCTGTGGAATTTTAAATTTATTTCGTTTCAACAGTAACTTAGTATTTTAATTAAGGGATTTACCTAAACATCTTTTTATTAAATTTCTTGCACATAAAGCAATAAATCAATTAGGCACATGCATAGTTAAAGGCAATAACAAACTAGGAAATAAAATCCAACTATAATGACCAATAACCATTTTCCCAATCCATCTTGAAAATAAACAATCATTTTCCTTGTTGAACTGCAAGTTCCCTTTCGAACTTAGAATTTCATTTTCGCCGTGATTCCCACTTTTCTTCTCGAACAAGCAAATCAAGTCGAACTGCAGTGTTGGACAAAAAAGTCATCGACGGGAAAAATATCGCTCCATCTGATTGTCACGGTGTGGTGCCGCGATCATCGGGAAGCCACCACCGCTCTGCGCAATTCTCAGCCAGGGATTTTGTCGTGCCCATCGCCCAGCGAGCCAACGCTGCGTGCGGTGCTCTCTCGTGAACGCATGAAGGAGGGAACGCAAGCTCGAATCCTAGAGACCCGTAATCGCATGATCCCAAGCCTCTCCATTGGGTGCGGTGCGAACTACTGTGAACTGGTTCGCAGGCTCGTTGCGCCTGTCCATGCCCGATACCATCACCCTGCCTCTCTTCGCCTGATTTGGCCTCGCTTTTTACAGCCGTGCTGCTGGAGGGCGTGCCCGCGTATGCACAACACCACGTACGTTGTTGACCTGCGGTTGGGTCGCCTCATCTCATTGGGAGATGCTGGTCGTCGTTTCGATCGTTCAGGTTCGTCCGCGTCCATCAGGTCAAATTGAATCAACATAATAGCTGTTACATAATTCAACACTTTCTCAACAAACTTTAATTCCAAATCAAACAAACTCAAAAACAATATAAACCCAGATGTATATGATTCATATATCCACTTGATAAAGAATGGAACTCCATCACAATTCAAATCAATTGGCCAGATTAAGTTACATTAACTTACGCCGTCGACTTAAGGTTGGGTCGCCTCATCTCATCGGAAGATGCTGGTCGTTGTTTAGGTCGTCCGCGTCCGTCGGGTCATATTGAATCAACATAATAACAAATACATAATTCAACACTTTCTCAACAAACTTTAATGCCAAATCAGACAAACTCAAAAACAAATATCAACCCAAATGTATGTGATTTATATATCCACTTGATAAAGAATGAAACTCCATCACAATTCAAAATCAATAGGCCAGGTAAAGGTTACGTGAACTCACATCCTAGAAGTCACTCAACCAATCAACAATAGTTCGTATAAAAACCCCTAAGTTCTGGAAACATATTTCTCAAATTCGGTCATTAACAAAACCAATATTTATTATAAGCCTCGGTGGAACAAAGAAGGTGGTAGTAGAAGTGGCATGGAATTTAAGTTTGATTGGACAAAGCATAGAAAACTATCGGCCTTCACTGCACAAGAAATCTATTCACGAGTAGTGGAAATATAATTAGTATTATTATACATATATGAATGCCTCGATAGGACATCTTAAATTATAACATATGGTAATTGAGAACACAGAGGTCAGGGCTCACAATACACCCACAGACTGACTTCGTCCTGCGTTTTCCATGCCCCCTTCCAAAACCACAGAAGCAAGGAGTGACTTCTTAGGATGGATACACTTTTGTGTAATTGAGGTGGGAGGATGTTTCAGGGTCATAAACTATATAATTATAGGGGGTGGAGAAAATTTTATTCAAATACCTCATTGGAACAAAAGCCTCACACGACCATGCTTTATAGGGAAATCTTGCTTGTCACAACCTCCCATGATCTTGAAAAAGTCCTGAAATACAAATAAGTAACGCCAATGTTAGTAATATATATTGCCAGGTAGAAGTTATTTGCAGTTAGAATTTCACTGGGCATACCTCACCCTAAGCATCTCCATTAACTTCTTGAGAGATCCTCTTGTCCTAGAAGACCGGACTGTAGTTTATGGATACTTAATAAGTAGATGACTAAAGATAATAATGGCAAAATAACACCAGGAGACAATTAAAGTAGACACCTTGAATACATAACAAGGTTTACATCGTTTAGATTGTATTAGATATTGTATTTAAGTTGTATTGTACAAGTTGTAATTTTTCCATTATAGCCTTATTTAGCATCAGGGTATAAATACCCAATGTACATTTGTAAAAGACAATTCATTCATTATAATTTTCAATACAGTTTTATATTTTCTCTCTCCTATCTCGGGTTCTCTCCTTTTCTCTGTACACAAAAACCCTAGATCTATCATGGTATCATTCGCCGGATAATCGATCCGATCCGTTTTTCCGCTGCTTTCTTCGTCGATTTCAGAGACGATCTATCCACAGTTGATTCTGTTTTCGATCTATGGCTACCAATCCATCGGACGATCCATCTTCGCCGTACTTCTTACACCCAAGCGACAACCCCGGCGCTCTTATTGTTGCCGATCTCTTCAACGGCGACAACTATGTTTCCTGGTCGCACGCGGTGGTCATGGCCTTGAGTGTCAAGAACAAAGGCGGATTCATTGACGGCACTCTTACTCCTCCGTCGTCGACTGGTAACCCTAATCTCTATGTCTCTTGGTCACGTGCTAATAACTTGGTCCTTTCATGGCTTCTTAACTCAATCTGCAAAGAGATTAGACAATCTCTCTTATTTTTTACTTCTGCATCTGATGTGTGGGTTGAGTTGAAGAATCGCTATGCCTTGAGTAGTGGACCTAGGGTTTTTCAATTGGAGAAATCACTTAGCACTATTGATCAAGGATCTATGTCGGTTACTCAATACTACAATGTTTTCAAAGCCTTATGGGATGAATATCTCACATATAGGCCTCTGATTAAATGTAACTGCGGTGCTTTCAATTCTTGTACATGTGGTATTTTTGATGCTATGTCTGTATCTCAGCAGAATGATTCTGTGATGAAGTTTTTAGTTGGCTTGAATGATTCTTTTTCTGCCTTGAGAAGCCATTTCTTGTTAACCACACCTATTCCCTCTCTTTCCAAAGTCTACTCCCTCCTTCTTCAAGAAGAATCCCAAAGATCCCTGCACAACACCTCTGGCCCTTCTGATTCTATGGTAATGCTTGCCAAAACCAATTACCCTCAGTCCAAACAACAACCTCAATCACAGAAACCACATAACAAAGACAGAAAGAAACTCAAATGTTCACATTGTGGATATAATGGCCATACTGCAGACAAATGTTTTCAAATCATAGGATATCCAGCCAATTGGCTTGGTCCTAAAGGCCCAAGACAAAATCCCCAACATCATTCTGCCAACTTAACCATCACAGACTCTGCTGCTAATACTGATACATCAAACTCCATTACTAATGACCTTCTTTATGAGTTCATGGCTTTCAAGAGATCTCAGGATGCTAAAAAGAGTGATCAAGGACCATCTATGCTTAATCCTGTTGTGGCCACTGCTATACCAGTTATTTCAGGTACATCTACTCCAATTTCTTGCATAGCATCTAGAAATCTGTGTAAGAATACTTGGATATTAGATACAGGTGCAACTGACCACATGATATGTGACATGTCATTTTTTACTTATCCTCCTACTCATGTCAATATCAATATTAATTTGCCAAATGGTAATCATACTAAGGCAATCCTTAAAGGTCATATCCAGTTTTCATCATCTATTGTGCTTCATGATGCTTTATATGTCCCCAGCTTTCATTTCAATCTGGTTTCTGTTTCTAAACTGGTTTCAACCAACAATTGCATGGTCCAATTCTTGTCATCTCACTGTATGTTACAGGATCTAACCAACCAACAAATGATTGGTTCTGCTGATTTGAGAGATGGTCTTTATCACTTGTCATTTACTCCTGAGCATCATATAAACTCTGTAACCCATACACATTTCCCTGTACCTACACTTACAAACTCTGTAACCCATACTCATTTACCTGTAATTACTGCAACAAATACTATTGTTGATCCTGTCACATGGCATCATAGATTAGGCCATTTGTCCTACTCAAGACTGCAACAATTACATCTTACTACTGATTCATGTACAGACTTATCTTCTAAACCATGTGATGTTTGTCATTTTGCAAGACAAAAGAAACTTTCTTACTCTCATAGTACATCTACTGCATCACATACTTTTGACATGATTCACTGTGATGTTTGGGGTCCTTTCTCCATTTCTTCTCATGATGGTTACAGATACTTTCTTACCATTGTTGATGATTTCAGTAGAGTTACTTGGGTTTATCCTCTTAAACTGAAATCTGATACAAAACAATGTTTGCATCAATTTGTTAAAATGGCTCTTACACAGTTTGATAGAAAAATAAAGGTCATTAGAACAGATAATGGCACTGAATTTCTCTTACATGATTTTTATACAAACAATGGAATAATACATCAAACAAGCTGTGTTGAAAATCCTCAACAAAATGGTAGAGTTGAGAGAAAACATCAACACCTATTACAAGTTGCAAGAGCCATTCTGTTTCATGCTAATTTGCCTATTTGTTTCTGGATTGACTGCATTTGGCTGCTGTACATCTGATTAACAGAGTTCCTACTGCTGTTTTACATAACAAAACTCCTTTTGAGATGCTTTATGACAGAAAACCAACTTATGACCACCTCAGAGTCATTGGTTGCCTTTGCTATGCTTCTACACTACAGGTAAACAGATCTAAATTTGATCCTAGATCTTCTAAATGTGTACTTCTTGGGTATCCATTGGGTTATAAAGGATATAAACTTTATAACCTAGATACTAAGAAAATATTAATTTCAAGGAATGTGCTATTTTATGAGGATGTGTTCCCTTTTCAAAACCCTGTTCAAACAAATGAACCTTTATTTTCCAACACCTCCACCCTTCCCCCATACTTATAAATCTCAAAACACTCAACCACCTCAAACACTTCATACAACTGTTATCCCATCTTCATCAACCAATACATATACTTAACCTACCTTATCTCAGCCAGCCACTCAAACACAACAGCCAGACACTAACAATGTGGGACCTACTCCTCCACCTCAGATAAGAAGATCCACAAGACCATCAAAACCTCCATCCTACTTAAACATATATCAACACTCCCTTCCAAATCCCTCTTCTAACACATCCTTCAGCACACTTGAAACATCCACTAAATATCCTATATCTTCTTTCTTATCTAATTCTCAACTTTCTCATAATCATTCATGTTTTACTACATCCATAACATGCAATTCTGAACCTAAATCCTATTCAGAAGCTGCCAAAGATCCTCTTTGGCAAATAGCTATGAAAAAGGAATTAGATGCTCTTGAACAGACTAACACTTGGCAATTAACTCATTTACCAAAAGGAAAACATTGCATTGGATGTAAATGGGTTTTTAAAATCAAATACAAATCTGATGGATCTATTGAAAGATACAAAGCTAGATTAGTTGCCAAGGGTTACACTCAAGAGGAAGGAATTGATTATTTTGAAACTTTTTCACCTGTTGCAAAAATTTCAACTGTCAGATTCCTCATTGCACTTGCATCTATCAAACATTGGCATATACACCAACTAGATGTAAATAATGCATTTTTGCATGGTGACTTAGATGAAGAAGTTTACATGAAACCTCCACCAGGTTACTGTAAACCCTCTGATCAAAGAGTTTGTAAACTTATTAAGAGCCTTTATGGTCTTAAACAGGCATCTAGACAATGGTTTCAAAAACTAACCACTTGCTTACTCTCTTATGGTTTTAAACAATCAGTTGCTGATTGTTCTCTCTTCACTTTATGCAATGCTGAAACTTCTTCTTTCATGGCCTTGTTAGTTTATGTTGATGATGTCATTTTATGTGGCAATAACTTACTTGAGATTACCAAAATAAAGGATCATCTTCATAAATGTTTTACTATAAAAGATCTTGGGGAACTGAAATATATATTGAGCTTAGAATTTGCACATTCTTCAAAAGGCATAAATATGTGCCAAAGAAAGTATGCTTTGGACATTCTCAAAGACACTGGTTTTCTTGCATGCAAACCTGCTACAACCCCAATGAATGCTTCTATACACCTTACTGCTCACTCTAATGATTCTGTTCTCACTAATGCAACTGAGTATAGAAGACTAGTTGGCAGGCTTCTTTATTTAACTATCTCCAGACCTGATATTAGTTACAGTGTTCAAGCCCTTTCTCAATACATGTCACAGCCCACAACACAACACCTTGCAGCAGCACACAGGATTCTCAGGTATGTCAAGGGTACAGTTGGCCAAGGTATTTTCTTTCCCAGAAATTCCTCTTTACTCTTATCAGCTTACAGTGACAGTGATTGGGCTAGTTGCTTGGATACTAGGAAAAGTATAACAGGATATTCTGTGTTTTTGGGTAATTCTCTTATTTCATGGAAATCTAAGAAACAAAATACTGTTAGTAGATCTTCTGCAGAGGCAGAATATAGGGCACTTGCTGCCACTTCATGTGAGGTACAATGGTTACTTTATCTTATGTCTGATCTTAATTTGTCTCGCACATCTCCTGTGACTATTTTTTCAGATAGTAATTCTGCCATTGCAATTGCCAATAATCCTGTTTTCCATGAAAGAACAAAACACATCCAATTGGATTAGAGAAAAGATAGCTGCTGGGATCATTACATTGCAACATATCCAAAGCAAAGACCAAGTGGCTGATTTATTTACCAAACCTGTCTCAAATCAGATTTTTACTCATTTGGTTCCCAAGCTCAACATGAATAATATACATGTTGATCTTGCGGGGGGTATTAGATATTGTATTTAAGTTGTATTGTACAAGTTGTAATTTTCCCATTATAGCCTTATTTAGCATTAGGGTATAAATACCCAATGTACATTTGTAAAAGACAATTCATTCATTATAATTTTCAATACAGTTTTATATTT